TGTGCTAATTTATGAGCCGTCTCCAAATGTCATAAATCTGTAGAGTTCACAGCTTATCAACACCACTGCTGTTAGGACAGACTGTGGTTACTGCACACACAAAATCAATCAGGGACACTTCATATGGAAATACAGGCATGATGTCACTACTCACAAACAAACACTGATTCAACTTATTACAGAGAGCTGAAAGTCCATCACTGTACATTTAATTAAACTGTCAGTCTAATAGTTTTATGCAAATGCTATCTACTATACTAATGTAATATGTTAAAGTAAAGAAATTGTACCATATGTAAAAGTTTGTCAAATGTAAACCTAAGAAATGCTACATCAGAACAATATTACTGAAACTGAGAGAACTTGAATGAACTTATAAACTTAAATACTAAATAATATTAAATACTAGCCTATTAAGACTACAAATAATTCCAATAAATCAAAAATATATATTTATAAAACATTTCTTGTGCTACAGTCACAAACCTGACTGCATCACTAACTTCTACCTCTAACTTTAAAATGTAAAAAGCTTCCAGAAAAAGTAGCCTACTCAAAAAATAATAAAACAAAACAAATAATAAAACTACATGAGTAAAAGTAGAAACATTTTAGGACGGCATTAGTAACTCCACATATCGTCACGCTCGTACCATGTCAAACCTCTTTAGGAATCCCACACGAGAAACACATTGTGAGTGAAGTGTCGGAGGAACGCGCTCAGAGTACGAAGGGAAAGAAAATCTGATTAAACAATTAGTGTCAATTAGCCCCGACCAAATCATTCCACAAACAATTGGTCTCTAGTGCCCGGCTTAATTACACGCGACTTTCAGCTCCTTATCACGAGCCACGTCGCCCTGTGATTCATGTCCGACTCACGCCTGTCCCTCAAGCACCATCAATTATCCTCCAGTAAACCAATCCACCAGAAAACTGCAGCAGCCCTGCGCCCGCCGCTCTGATTAGCATAGCTCTGTGGATGCTCGTCAGCTGCAGCCTCCTCTGATGAGATGAGCGGTTAGCCTCGGGATCAATACACACAAAAGGCCTTGTTAGACTTTGATTTGCCCTGATTTTAAATACTTTTGGAAATACGGGACAGCCAGTTCAGCACAGAAGTTTCACAAAGAGATCAGACACAATCACTTCTCAATAGTTTACAATATATAGTTGAATGAGCAGGGATGTGACAGCTATATTTAATCAATATGTAATGATAAGTAAATTTAAAAAAAATCTTTAAATTAAGTACTAAAATAATACTTCTATTTGTATCATTTTGGGAACTTGATAGGTAGTAAGTAACTACAATATTAGTGGAAGCAGTTGAAGTACCAAATACACCACCGACAGAAGCACAAGTAGGGGTAATCCTAATAGCAGTAATATTAGAGTATTAGTTGTGCAAGGTGTTAGTAGTGGTTCATAGTTGTTAGTAATAGTAGTAGAGCAATAACAATAGCAATAACAATACTGCACTGTAAAAGCATGTAGTGTTATTGTAGTATTTAAATTAGTAGTAGCAGTAGTTACAAAAATATCATCTTTAATTTTCATTATTAAATTGCAAAGTACTTTTTACATTATCAAAGACATCTAAAATTAATTTGGTACTATACAGAGGTGATACTCACAATTTGTACCAAACAAACCGCGCTATTTATAACACTGCCGTAGGGACTATAACAATATTGTAATAGCTCGCTGCTCAACAATGAAAGACAACACAAACAATACAACAACAGCATGATGTTACAAGTCGCAGCCTGTCCCAGAATGTGAGGCTGCAGACCCCACATCCACCGGCGCACAGCGAAGGGGAGAGACAGCAGGTGCGATGACATGTTAAATTACCCCGGTGATGTATAGCTTAATGAACCCCTTGTGTTGATCACGCTCCACATTAATCAACAGCCATGAGCAGATTCCCTTATTTTCTCAATGCTGCCTTGATAAACTGCAATTTCATTTAACCTTGGACAGCAACTTTAATAGCTTCCACAGGACAACTGTCAATACTTCCCTGGGTATACAGTGATTAAATTGCAAGGCGAGAAGAGTGTCCCAGGCTTCCTCCTAAGGCTCATCCACAATAACCCCCCTCCTCACCCCTCCTCTCTGCGATCCACCCCTCGCGCACACACAACCCTAGACTTCAAATCACAGTTTGTACTTTCACTCTAGGCCCGCTTTAAACCAGCAACGTCAAGACGCACTTGGGTCAATTTTAAAACCCTGTGAAAATGGTTTTATTTCTAATACTGTGCAAAAGGATTTAATGATTCTAAGGAGCCAGTGCACCAGCAAATACACTGACTATAAGACACATTGGTAAAGAAAAAGTGACCAGACCTGCATAGAAATGTTGAGGTAGATGTGCTTTACAATGAGGAACACAAGCTTTAATTAGCAAAAGTGTTTGTTCCTAGTGAAGGGTAATAGGCATAATATCATAAAGTAAAAATGTGCACAATCTGTAAAAAAACAAACATAACATTATCATCTTGTAATCATTTTGCTGTTGTTGTTTTAGTGGTTTTGCCTGTAATTTTCTTATGAAATATAAATGTAGAGTTCATCCAAGCATTCCTAAACAACAGCATTTGCAGCTCATAAAACTACAATATCTTATTCTATTATAAAAGCAATTCATCTATACCAGTCATTTACTATAAAATAACTTAAACTTAAATTATTTCATTTTCTAAATATTTTGAATAGAATTGTAGGGCTGTCTTGAAGGGTAAAATGTCATTCTTCCATATCAATTGCCATGTTAGAAATTCACTAGTTGGACAAGACCGAGATGGACAGAACAAAACAGGCTGGTGACAGGCAGTGACCTGAACCCTGTCATAATGATTTTCAGTGATATCCTCCACCCTTGTCAATTTAGCATAAATTATCAGTCATGAAAGACCTGCTGGCTGATTAAAACCAATTGTCTGCGTATAGAAGGACAAGGCAAGCTCTTTATTATATGATAAACTAAGTAAATGGAAAACGACGTCTCCCCTCTGGGAAATCGGACCACCTCTTAATTAAAACATTGTGTTGTCTCTGAATAGATAACAGGGCCTGTATAAACTTAACACCTGGAGAAAACTTGAGGAAAAGTTACTAAAGTTGTAGCTCACAAAAAAAGTTTTGCCTCCTGTAAAGCTATCTGACACAAACAGAAACAGAGACTCGCAAATGTAATCAGCACCATCAGTCGCTAGCCTGCGCACAAACAAATAATACACGTTTGTTTTAACAGATTTGTTTATGAAGACACACTCCTGACACTTTGTAATTGCACTGGATCTTAAAGCGCATTATCACCTCTGAGAACATGTTTCATTATCACATCCACAGTACACAGAATCCAAGTGTGGCGCATGTTAGACAGAGGGAAAAATCAGGCCCACTTCACAGTCAGTTCGTCTTAGTCTAGTGCTTCGGGGATGACATAACAAGAAGAGCAAACATGTCTGTGTCTTGCGCCTCTCGTCGACTTCCTCCACCCACACTTGAGAGGTGACAGGCATACACCCGGACTTCCATTATTATCCCACAAGAATGCCACTGGGAGGATAATTACTGAAACTTGAAGAGCCAGGGCTAATCCTAAGTACTTCACTTTGTATGACTGCCTCGCCCGCCTGTCTCTTAGCCCGCCGCTCATGCTGACAAAGTGCAACGTTGGGCTCGCTGAAAGTCAATAAGAAGACCTCATGGCCCGCAGATGAAGCGCTTGTGCCAAATGGATCCAAAATACACTGTTTTGGAGTTTGTCATCAAAAACTGTAATCTAACAGTGCAGAGCGGCAAACAAGTGGCCAGGGAAACAGTGATTACAACACCAACTGGCAAATAAATGAATAAATCTGTGATCAAACTCATTTTTTATGGGAACAGATGGACAACACTCTACATAAAAGCTGGTGTTGCAGATAAAATGTGATGGTAAAATGTGCAGCTGAAAGGGACAAAGAGACAAGAGACAAGTCCTTATACGTAGAGTTTGACTGACAGGTGCTGTGAAGGACTATTAGCACATCACATGACATGCACTGCAATTCTCAAGATATTTGTTATTTACCATACAATTATCCTAATATGGAAGCCAAATTATGCCCATCCAAATTACCATTTGCACTGTTTCCATAATAACCGACAACATGGCAACTGTTAGCAACACAGCCATGTGTTAATTATGACAAGCAACTTTAAATGAAATTGTAAATATTTAATTGCCTCAAGAGCCTGACAAACATTTTTACCACAGTACTTCATATGAAAGTAATTAAGACTACTGCACTCTTGAGATGGTTGAGTACTTTTTTTGCTTTTGGTTTTTATAGTTGACTTAATAAAAGGAAAAGGAAACTTAAGAGCGTTTGGTCTTTTCATCCCCAGAGGAAACGGAGGCACCCATCCTCCCGCACAAAGCCAGGAACAGCTGGCTGATCGATACGCGACAAAAGCTCAGAGGTTAGAGCAGTCAAAAGATTGTTAACTAGCCATTTTATTTGCCAGACATTTATATCATTGTTTATGGTTCAGTGCACCCCTTGAGCGCGGTCCATGCTGCACACCTGTGCTTGGAACACAGTCAGGGCCTCTTCACCCACTTCCACTGACCTCGAGATAAAGAGCACTGCACCGCCAACACCTCCATTTAGAGAGCAACAACACTGGTAAAGAACACATTCAGAATAGATAGCTGTGTTTTGCCTTTTGCAGACACTTTGGCTGTAGGTTCATATTAGCTCAATAATTCTGCATTCTGCATTGTTGCCAAATACAAAATGCAGCTGTCTATTTTAAAACTGCAAGTATTTTCATGAGCACTCTGGACAGATTCTTATTTTGACATTCCTACATATGCGTTTGTGTTTGTGTGAATGTGGGTGTTAGTACACTGTGAGTTGGGGCCAGTAACACATGGCTGTGGCTGCAGTAGACAGGGTCCCTGCGGGCTGGCAGGCCGGCCGACCCTCTGTGTGGCTCACCCAGGCGAAGAGGGGCTTCCTGCACATCTTTTGTCACACCAGTTGGGCCCTTGTGTCTGTGGCGGCTCCGCTCTGGACTCACTTGGCAGCTCACTGTTCAGACGGACATCTGCTCTCTCCATCCTCCCTGTGAATAGCTTTGAAAACATACACACCATGATCAGTGCTCTTTATACTTTTATCAATAATGTTGCACCATCAGAGATGGACAGAATTATTGTGCTCCCTCATATAAATATACATGTATTAAAATTATTCAACTTTTAACACTTTTTATTTTACATATTAGGAAAAAAAATTTATGAATCTATACACTCTTGTTTTGAAAAAGTCAACATTAAAAATAGAACTTGTACATCTTGATTCCTCTCAGGAGTTCCCTGAGCAGTGAGTGATTTTGGAGCACGCAATATTGAACACACTTTGTTCGTGCTCAGCGGCCCAGAATAACGCGGTCATTATGGCGGCGAAGGGACAGGTTTTGAGTTTGATTTCATGATGGTAATATAGCCCATGTGTGGAGAAGAAAGCCTTCAATGGGGACATCTGTTCAACGCGGCTTACAGTTACAGGCGTGCGTAAAGAACAACCTCTGCATCCCATATGAACTGGGAGCGACCCTATGGCCACTGCAAGCAACAGGCAACAAAAGACTTGGAGGATGATGCCAGAGTTGTACACCTGTGTTAAATGTCGATCACATCTCTGCAGCGGGGCGGTGATTCCAACTCCCATGTCCGTCCCACGGTTGAGCACCTTCTAAAATGTAATCGCTAAGTCTTTAAAAAATCCACCACTATTTCTGTAAAAATAAAAGTAAACGCGCTAATTTAGTGTACACTTTACTCAACTCATTTTAATTAACAGTCTATATTTTTGTGTTATTTTAATACTGCGCACCCTTATTAATGCTCTGTAAAAATATGACCCTGTTAATTGATCAGCCGGTGTAACATTGCTGTGGTGGTTGAGAGTTTTAGAGTCGACTCAGGAAAGCTGCCGTTTATTCTGCAGATCTTACGCCGAGGGTCACTCAGTGCGCGTCTCTGTGGAGCACGTATGTACGCTTTGATTTATTTCCCCACACGCTTACTCACATTTTAATAATTACTGTCTTGTGTACAATGTTATTTTTTTCAGTTTGCATGATTATTTGCAACACATAATAATAATAATAGTCGTCTATCTTATTTCATTTATAATAAAAAACAAAGTGCGCGCTGTTGCACTTCGAGCTTGTATTTGTTTAGTATGATTTTAAGAATTTGTATAGACTAAACGCTATGCTTTGGAGGAACGTTTAAACTTTTATAATTTACTTGTGAAATGTGAAACCCTATAACCGCGGTAAAACATAGAAGTTGCTTAAATCTAGCTCGTAAAAATCGTTTTCAAAATAACAGTGTTAACGGAGTATCTATTTGTAAAACAATGTAAATACGTCCTAAAGGCGCTTGTCCAATCGCAGAAACACAAGTATTAATCAGCCAGTCCATCTATCAGGCTGTGTAATAAAGGAAGCGACATGGTTTAGGCAGATGATGTGATGTATAATCCCTGGTCGTTTTAATTAACTTTTCCCTGTCCTGTAATGACCAAGCTGGTCAACAGAGCCGGTCAATAAGCATGTTAATATCAAACAAATAAAAGTGTAGATGATTAAAAACCTCCTGCGTTATTAAATTTGAAATTCAAATGAAATGTATGCTTCCAGTGCGCACTGCATGCTAATAGCGCCCAGATTGAGTCCCTGACTTTAACGCGGATGGTCCCTTATACTCATTATGTAACAGCAGCTTGCTTTATAGATTTAACAAAATGTCAACAGACAAAGTGATGACCCTATTCAATTTTACTCGAGGTCTGTGCAATCCCTTAATTATATACACTGATAAATAATGTTCATTACCTGATCCACCACTCTTTTCCCCACCACTAAGTCTTGAAAATTTCCCATATTTTATTTTTGTAATACCCAGAACAAAACGAAGCAAAAGTCAACTACATCAACCTTTCACTCCTCCTCCTCTGCTATAAGCTAATATCACAAATTGACTTACCCACCTACGGAATGCGCTAGTTTTAATCAAAACTGTCAAAGATAATTGTGCGCAATTACAGTAAAGTTTAAAATGGCACCAGACCCATTATCCAGGACCAAGAACAAAGCACTCTTTATATATCACCTAAATCATGTGTATATTAAGTTAAAACTTCCAAAGAGTCATTTGAGTAAAGTAGTGTCTAAAATATGACAGCAGACAAAACCAGAACCCACCGAGGCCTGTTGCGCACGGACGTTCTTGTTGGGATAACATGAAATTAAAAACAAAACAGCATTATCAGAATATTTCACACAATCTGTTTGTCGTGCAGTTTTAGCAGGTATGACTGCTGTGTAAAGGGTACAGCATAAACTCAGTGGTGAAGACAGGTCAGACTAGTCAATGTTATTCCACAGTGGCTAGCTCTTTTTATTTATGGAATGTGATGTTCAGTAAAATTTCAGTAAGTGCCCCTAATTCCTCCTTCCTAATTCAGTGTCATTTAACTTTGCCTTCCTTCCGCTGTGTTTTATGATGGAGGGGGCGGTGTGGGGTGGAGGAGGGAGGAGATCTGTCTGCGACGCTCTATTGATGACCTCACGGTAGAATGTGGCAGTGCGGCACGACGCGCCCGCTGATTGGTCGCCCGTGTCACAGCGGCACTTCAAAGCCAGAGAGGAGCCTACAATTGTGGAAGAATGGGCGGACCGCATCATTGTATTGCACACCTCTAAAAAAACAGTGCTCTGATTCATAAATATAAAAAGATCCTCTGAAGAGGGCAGTGTTTTTGTGTGATGGCAACTTCACTTCTAGGGGTGAGTCTAAAGGACTTTCTTTCTGGTTTAATTAGTTCGTGTCATTGTCCGGCAGAGAAGGATTAAACTCGCAGCGGTCAGAAACAGCCAGCAAAGCCAGTGCAGTACATGTATTTCCCGAAACTTCTCTTGAGATTTTGCGGAGGATACATAAGTTAGATTTGTATCTTAAAACGCGTGTGTTTACGGGTATCCAGTTTGGCATGCGCCTGTGAACGGTCTTGTTGCTGTTTGGTGTTTACCGCTTGTCCAGGTAGGAGCTGATTCGTTTTAGGGCATTTTCTTATTGCATAGTAAATGTTGAAGATAGCAGAGTGTTTGTTGTCCATGATATCAACAACCTCTCTCTGAAGCTGGAGTTTGAAGTGTGCGTAAAGAACCTGTTCAACTTGTCAGACTGACCAGTCACTCACTGTTTCTCTTGTGTTTTCAGGAGGAGCCGAGGTTAGGATCGACTCCTTTAGCCATGTTAGCCGCAACATGCAATAAAATTGGGAGCCCCAGCCCATCACCGTCTACTATTACGGATAATTCCTCCTCATTTGGGAAAGGATTCCATCCATGGAAAAGAGCAGCGGCTAGCAGCTGCAGCCTCGGGTCTGGCCTACCCGGCTTCGGGGTGAGTCGTAACGGATCTGGGATCTCGGATTCATTCGGCACCAATAACTCCAATGGATCCAGCGCCTTTTCTTTGACGTCCGGCACGACTTCTAGCTCCCACTTTGGAAACGATTACTCTGTGTTCCAGGCGTCTGTTTCCAGCAGCTCCCAGGAGTCCAGCCACCAGCCCGTGTTCATCTCCAAGGTGCACACGTCAGTGGACAGTCTGCAGGGCATCTACCCCAGAATGAGCGTGGCACATCCCTACGAGTCTTGGTTCAAGTCGTCTCATCCCGGGATCCCCACTGCGGACGTGGGCACTACGAGCGCATCTACGTGGTGGGATGTTGGAGCAGGATGGATAGATGTCCAGAACCCAAACGGAGCCGCGCTCCAGACATCCTTGCACTCCGGGGGACTGCAGACATCCCTGCACTCTCCTTTAGGCGGATATAACTCTGATTACTCCACTCTGAGTCACTCTGCGTTCAGCACGAGCCCCTCTCCGCACCTGTTGACCACCGGACAGCACCTGATGGACGGCTTCAAGCCTGTCTTGTCCTCCTATCCTGACACCAGCCCATCTCCACTGGCCGGGGCAGGAGGCACGATGTTGACCGGGGCTCCCCCTGCGTCTTTAGCTGGCTCCCCGCGCTCCTCGGCGCGACGTTACTCAGGCAGAGCCACGTGCGACTGTCCCAACTGTCAGGAGGCAGAAAGACTGGGGCCAGCGGGCGCGAGTTTGCGGAGAAAGGGACTCCATAGCTGCCACATTCCCGGGTGCGGAAAAGTTTACGGGAAAACATCTCATCTGAAGGCACACTTGCGCTGGCATACAGGCGAAAGACCGTTTGTGTGTAACTGGCTCTTTTGTGGAAAAAGATTCACGCGCTCTGACGAGCTGCAGCGACATTTACGCACGCACACGGGAGAGAAACGGTTCGCGTGTCCAGTGTGCAACAAGAGGTTTATGCGCAGCGACCATCTGAGCAAACACGTAAAGACTCATAGTGCAGGCGGCTCCGCCGGGTCTGGTTCTGGGGGCAGCGGGGGCAAGAGGGGTAGTGACACCGACAGTGAGCACAGTGCGCCCGGGAGCCCCCCGTGCCAATCTCCCGACCTGTTGCACCCAAATGAGACAAGTCAAGGAGTGACTTTGAATGGCCTCTGATTCTATAAGGACTGAAAACTGTTGAACTTTCCGAGGTGTACGTGATTATGCACTAAACACGCGGAAACTCAGTGAATATTGTCATGTGAGGAGAAAAGGCCCCTGCGTAACAAGTGTTTCAGTCAAACTGCGACTCTCCTAACGGTTCAACGTAAGTATTTTCAGAGCTCCAGAATGCAGCAGTAGTGGTGCAAACAACAAGGAGCGCACACAACTTTCTATGACTCCAACACATGGGCAATTTTATTGCAACATGTTGAAGAATTGGGACATGGAAGTGATGCTCTGCTGTCTTGTGTTCAAAACCGTACTCTGGCACTTTATTATCAAGCAGGAGAATTTGTTCTAATGGGATGTTTCTAGTTCCATTTATTTTGAAAGTAAATTTCTCACGTTGTTATTCACGTCACCTTGTGCCACCTTTATAAGTCCGGGCCAGTTGAAAAAATTGGCATCGAAATGTGTACATAAAAATAGGTTAGATGAATCTCATCCCACTGTAAAGGTGTATTTGTCCAAGAGACGCTTTTGTATAGGTATTTCTAGTTGTATATTGACTCTAGTAAATATTTGCAAATATACAGAAATGTACTTGGATTTTTCTTTGACATGATATGTAATGTGGAATTTCTATTTAACCACGAGTTTTCTTGTGTTTAGGGGTCTACCATTTGGCGCACTTTTATTTTTAAGGATCTTAAATAATTTACTGTTTACCCACTTGTTTTAATTTAAGTACGCATGATGTAACGTGCTTTTTAATTTCCAGTGATTTTTTTATTTTTATTTTTCTGCGAGAATGGCTTTTTATGAAAGTCATTAATAAAGTCAGTTAAATTAAGCAGCGGTGGATCCACAGTTTGTTACACTGGATAGAAAACAAACGTAACATGTTTGTTATGAATAAATACGTAGACAAGAATAATCATTGGGGAAATGTGATTATGTAGGTTATTATGTGTAACAAGAGCGCGCATCTTGAACCAGTTATAGTTGTTACAAATCATTTCAAAGAAGTTTTTGAATTTTATTCACATGAGTTGACGCACCAAGCCAAGTAAGCGCAGGCCAGTGAGAAAAGCAGTTTATAAATGATGGTGTTTAAAAGCCATGTTACAAATGCTGTTTATGGTTTTGCTTGTTTATCAAGTTACAACAATTATTGTAAATACACCCCTATGTCAAGACTCTCCCTCATTATGCTGTGTTGAGATTTGTATTATTTAAACTATTTTCAAACGAAATGTTAATTTTAAATAATAGAATTAAATAATATTGGTCTATGCTGGTGTATTGAAATGGTTATACGCGTTTACCAAACTGAGACCCACAACCTGTAATGTAGCTATTAATACAACATAATATTAAAATATATTAAAAGGTTACAATATAGCAACAATTACAAACAAATTAATAATCTAAAGATAAAATACAAAAAGACTAATAAATTGATGAAAATATTGAGATGATGCGCATTTTGCTCATGAATTTGCATTAATGCCAGGTGGAAGAAAACATCTCTATAATTCATCATAACGTGCTCATCTGAAAGATTCAAAATAAGAAAACAAATAGGCAAAGTGACTAATGTTATTTCATATCATCTGTGAGTGTATCTTCCCTTAGTGGACTAGCCATAAATATGGCATTAATAAATATGGATTTTTCCTCATCTTAACAAATTAACAGATATACAGATTAGAAGAATAAAAATTGTCACATTTAACGCTGGGCTTTTATGTAAATCAAATCTACTTTTAAAACTCATCGTTTTAATTCCTCCGCCAAAGGCAGCATTAAAGCGCCATCTAGTGCTACATCTTTGCTTAGAGTGTTTTAGTGCGGTGAGTATTGTGTCCAAGTTATAAAACTTAAAGAGTGCAATACGCAACTTTTCTGGTTGTCTGGTGATGCTTAGGTCAGAGAGGTGACCCCACTCACAATAATAATAATAATAATAATAATAATAATAATAATAATAATAATAATAATAATAATAATAATAATAATAATAATAATAATAATAATATAATAATAATAATAATAATAATAATAATACGTTTCCAAGCAATAAAACCACCTGTATAAGGCAGGTAAATTTAATCAAACATCATTCTGTCAAAAATATCAGGGCAAGCAAAAACAACCCTTTGCACAAACCTAACTAAAAGTTATAAAGTGTTTGTACACAGCAGCATGCTTCATTTTGAATGCATAACAAACAGGAAAGGTAGTATTGTTGATGATAAAAATAAAAATAAAAGTTTATCATAATATATATTCACGGTGCAGTCTAAAACACCTAAACACTTGCATGTGGCAGTAAAATACAAAGCCTGTTTTGCAGTGTTCTGTTTGTGATTATTAGACTTTACCTTCAAAATCAGATTTGGAATTTATTTCTCTCTTGATTGGACTACTGCTGTGAGTTGCCGTATCAGATGTGGGTAGCACTTTGGACGGACAAAGTCCTTCTAATTCTGCCACCTGGAAATCACACAAAAGACAAACAGTGACCAAGGAACGGCGCTCATCTTGTGGACAAGGTAAGTGAGTGAAGTTAGAATGAAGACACTTGTACAAGAGACACAACTGATACAGCACAAAAACATGATCTGAGTTTTGACCTGACCATCAGCAACAAATCTGATATATCTGTGAAACATCTAACCAATAATCTATGGGAATAGACAAGAAAAAATTAGCTGCTCCTAATGCTTTGCCCCAGAGGCATTGAAGGATGTGTCAAATAGAGAGGTTCCCTGAATGGGGACAATAAAGTTTACCTTAAAGAGTCAAGACACATGAAAAGCACAAGATTTGTTTTTCTAAAAGTTTTAAACACAAAAACAGCCTAGTTTCACGAAAAAAAAGTGATTTTATGTTACAGCATTATAAAAATAACAACAGACCCATTGAAGTTTACGTAAAGTCTGATCCAGACGTACATAACTTTTTTCAACTGTCTCTGCAGCAAGAGTCGGCACGAACAAATAAGGAAATGCTACCCCCAAGTGGCCAAAGTGTAGTTCGTCATTACAACTTTGATAATAAGAAACGTTTGAGTGCACAACGTTACACTGTGTGGCTATGATTTTAATTTATACATGCTTAATAACAATGTATGCTCAATATCAACACTATAGTAGGCTCAAATATATAGTTAGGATATAGGTAAGCTAAGTGGTCCTATATTAGGGTCCTCTTTCCCGTTTTATTTAGAAAACTGTCCATGAGCAAAATTTTCTAAACAAAAAGCTGGGCAAAATACGAGCATTTTCAAAGCGTGACTAAACTCTCCCGTGACTGGTTGTTAATTCGTGTGCTTGTACTGCTCCGTGTGGAGCGAGAGGGCAAACCATGGTTTGTTGTCGTGTAAACATTAACCTTCAGAATCAGAAATACCTTGTGTTTGTAGTCAATCTTATCACCTTCACAGTCGAAACCAGCGCTGAGTTTCAGGTGTTGTAAGTCTACTGTTTAAACAACGAGTTGCATTATGGGAAATGTGGTTTCTCTGCTCCAGAGGCCACTCCTCTACTTTGGTTATGTGTTTTATTGGAGACTTCCAGTCCCAAAATGCCATGTGCCTAAGAGCAAACACGGAGCGTTGAAACGTGAGGAGGGGAAAGAGTTTGGTTACGCCCCAAAATGCGTAAATGCGTAAATGAGTGAAGAAGACTGCTCTCTTTTTCTACCAACGCGACCAAACAAAATTTCCAGCAACTCATGCCGCCGGTGAGAACATAACTTTTTATTGTAGTTTTAAATTTTAGAACAGTAGTCGCCTAATCTGTGCGCAGTGGCTGAAGAAGTAGACCTAATGAATATGTAACTACAGATGCACCTGTTCACAGACTGGCGGTGATCGTCCCTCTCATTGTTTTCCTTGTGTTGCCGTTTTGATCCTGAAGTTGGTGACAGTGCAGCCTATCGACCTATCTATATATGTATATGAACATACGTAGCATTTTAAAAATTATACATTTATAATTTAGCTATTAAAATACACGTGACCTACTATATATTAGTATTGTTAACAAATTATTATGATTGATTATTACACTTTCGTTTTGGTTAAATGTGGTAAATAAAGGCCTATTTTCTGTGTTTATAGCCCAGGTGTTTTGACTACAATCAAAATACACTTTGATTATAGCCAGGAACACAAAAGAAACTAGCTACTGTTTCAGAGGCTTGACAAGACCAACCTGTTCCTGTACACTGCCTGGTGTAAGAAAGCACATTATTAATGACTGACTCACTGTGAGGAGCTGTGAATGGGTAGTGGCCTGTCTACAAACAAGTGACAGAGTAAATAGCTTGTGCTTTTTTCATGCTTTCAAACTGAGTGGTTGTTCAGAGAGCTCAAGGCTCACTATGTGAAATGACGCAACAATAACACCACTGAGGCAACCTACGCTTTTATTATTACGTCAAAAACTGGAATTATATTATAACTATTTACATTTAGCTTTATTTGACAGATGAAATATGGCAGACAGAAGAATACAGTCAATTCGCCGTGTTGGGAGTCTCATGCGAAGCAGATCTGAGGGAACATTGATTGATGTGGATGACAATGTTTTTGTCAACAACTCAAATGGTAAGATATCCATTCAATAAAGCTATCAATCATTTGTTAGACACTGATATCTAAAATGGCATGGCTTGTTTTATTATCATTACATATTATGGAGTTTGTTTGTATGTTTGCTTTATGTTTGCTTTGCTTTGTATCTGGTAAACTCTGATGGGACCAGGTGGATGGGGAGGGTCAGATATTGGAAGTGGAGGGGTGGGTATTAGGGAATGTTTTTTCAATATGACATGATGTTTACTGAAATGAATAATAAGCCACAGAAATAATGAAGATAAAATGGTATTGTTTTTCAGGTGCGCCCCGCCAGAATTTGGAGTGGCCCCTTTCACACACAGACATCCCAAAGTCAACTGAGACAAAAAACCCTTTCTGGAACAAACTGTCTGGGTCAAATCCTTTCCTAGATGACATTGTATTTAGCAGTCCAGATGAAGGTTTTTCCAATCCAATTAATACAAAACAAGACTTAGAGCAACACCCCAACAATGAGGATGCTGCAAGTACATCATCAGACGAAGGGAACATTGAAAATCTGCTGGGGAACAGGAACAAAGTCAGCAACAGGTCTGGACGATGGAGGAGTGCATCTGACATTTTGGATGACTTGGAGAGGAAAGTGCCAAAACGCACAAATAGCACCAACAAACCTCCCGGGACAGTCCTGAACCCAGATTTTGAGTGGCTAAAAGATGATAGAGAGGCATATAAGATGGCCTGGTTGAGTCACCGGCAGCTTACGCGTTCCTGTCTGGACCTGAACCTGATGAGTCAAAGTCCAGGGTGGGCTCAAACACAGGCCACGGACTTCCAGGTCATCAGTAAGATTGGACACACAGGAGGCTCTGTTCAGCTGCCTGACTCGGAGATAACAATCCATTTCCCAGAAGGCCATGTGGCACCTGGGGAAGTCCAGGAAGTGACCCTGAAAGCAACACTAGACCCCCCTCCCGGACTCAATAACAACTACATGACTACCATGAGCCCCCTGGTGGAAGTAGTCCTCAGTAATATTAACACAAAAAAGTGTATATCTCTGGACGTGAAGCTGTCTGGAGCGGTGCGTGCTGACAATACAAGCAAGGTGATGACGGCTGTTACCGGGCTGTTGTCTAACAAGAGAGAAGGCCCCTATGTCAAAATGGATGACTGTTACATTTACAAAAACATGATGCAAATGAAGCTACAGGAGTTGAAGACACATTTTTATGTTATTGCTGTGGCAGAGGCTTTTGCAATTGAGCCCCCCGCCTCTTCAGTATGGGATTACCTTGACCGCCCAATCACAGTGGCAGTTTATGGTCCTCGCTACATACATCCATCTTTCAAGGTTGTAATAGTGGTGTGCTGTCATGACGATGTCCCTCCAAAGCTGCCATTCTCAGATGTCTGTCGAGGCAACAAAAGTCTGCCCCCTTTAGTGCTCCAGCTGTGGGGGAAGCATCACTTAAAACCAACTAAACTGAATGACATGAAAATTGCAATTAGTGTGGTAGAAACACTGTTTAAAATCCAACCTGAGGATAAGCTTAAAGAAGTAAGACAAAGTCAGCTTAAAATAGGCACAGTGTTACATCTGCCTGTTGCTTTATCTTGTGACAGGACTGCAGAAATGGTACCTTTTACACTTGCTTTACACATGACCGAATCTAATGCCAAAACTGTTGCACAATTTCAAGTGACGTCCCCAACTGTGGCACCACTGCGATCTGAAAAACGAGGCAGGCAATTTGAAAAGCGACTGGAAATGCCCAAAAGTCCAACAATCCCTGAGGAGAGCGTGCCGGATTTACCAAGTTTCCAAGACAACCCAGTAAATCTGCAGTGGTATGGAGTCGCTCTGAAGTCCGTTCTCCGGCAGCCACGAGTGGATTACCTGTTGGAATACTTTAAAGGGGACACAATGGCTCTTTTATCAAAGGAAACTGTCAAATCAGTAGGAAATTTCAAAGTAAAAGAGTGGTATATTGGGTTTCTCCGAGACAGGATTGGTTTGGTTCACTGCAAAAACATCAAGCTTATAACTAGAGATCAAGTAATCGATTTCACTGGAATTCAGATGACCACAGAAGTGCTATTGGACAACATGACGCTGCCCTTTAGAAAATTCACATACATGTACTCTGCCATTCAGACTATGGTGACTGAACACATAAGCAGCTGGAGGGACTTTGCCAGTGCTTTAGGCTATCACAATCTGACCCTGGACACCATCACACGCAGGTACACGGAAACAGAGGCGGACAAAGTGGCCAGTGTGCTGGAGAGGCTGAAGGAGGACTGCCACACTGACAAGAGCAGGAGGAAGTTTTTGCATGAACTCATTATTGTAAGTAGAAACCAGGGTTCAAAAAACAAACAGATACTCATCAATACTAAAAAGAGTAACAATACTTGATACTCAAGTACTAATACAGAAAAAACACATAATTAGGACAACATTTTCTTGAGTAGTTTTTGAATGACTGGTAATGAATGTGTTAATAAGTACATAAGTACAAAATTACAACTGGTACAAGCTAGTTTTGAAAGAACTAACTAGATAACTAGATGTGCAGTATAAATATCACTACAGCTTTTAAATCATTGCCACAAATTTTGATCATTCATATTTTTATGTGAATTATTAAACAAAAAAAACTTTTTCCTTGTAGATATCTTTACTCTTATCTTGATTTTGATTAAAATGTAATTAATCTATTATGGGCTGCCAAGATAAGCCATGAACAAAGTTCTAGCTTATCTTATGCTAACAAAGTTTTTTTTTTTTAAACCCATGGTTCTTTTGTTCTCAGGGCCTGTTAAAAATGGATGCTGTGAACCTTGCAGCTCAGCTTATCCAGAACACTGTGATTCTGTCGACTGCTGTGGAGCTCGGGCCTCGTTGGAGAGAGCTGGCGGAGAAGATGGAAAAACTCACCGGTGCTCAGATAGCTGCGTATGAAGCCCCCCACCGAGGCAAGAATGGTGATGTTTCCCCTCAGGTTTGTGCATTATTGTTATATGTATTTAAACATTGGCCTACATGTCTGAACCTTTTCTCCCCAAACATTATAGATGGTTGAAGGTTTATGCTTCTTTTAAGATCACATACAGAACCATAAAATTACTTGTTTTGTAACTAATTTGTTGCCACTTGTGTTGTTTTGTATTTGCATAGTTACTTGATCCAGTGTGGACAAAAGTTTGGACAAAAAAAACATGCGTACCTGACCTATGCTCAACTTTCATTACAGTGTATATTATATTGAAGTGCTGTCTTATTTTATAGGCAATGTGGAAACCTGCCTATGACTTTCTCTATTCCTGGAGCCAGAGGTACAGAAATAGTTACAGAGACATGATTCAGGATCTGCACTTGGTCCTGGACAAAATGAAAAACCCCACAACCCGACAGTGGAGGCAGCTGACAGGAGCGCTCATCACAGTAAACTGTCTCCAACTCTTCCGGAGCTCTGCATTCCCCAAATCATAGAACAAAAGCCACAGCAGTGTTGCAATAGGGGTCAGACCAGGGAGGTGTTTGACTGTAATCTTAGCTGACTTATCAACTCATGTATGTTGTGTTTGTACAGATACTATACTGTTACTTTATATCATTATTATATGTATTTTATTTTTTAATATAATGTGAAATTATTTTTGAAAGAGTTAAAGAGATCAAAATGTGTGTTTTACCTTATTCTCTGGTTAAAATGCACCATCACTGTGAAATTTCCTGTTACTCAAACAATCTATAGACCTTGTGTGTGTATCATTAGTCCTGTCACTTTTGTATCACTTTTTTTTTTTTTACTAAAATATAGAATTGTTATATTTATACATTTAAATTATGTAAAGCCTGACCACGTGTGCCAAATAACGTCTTATAATAATGTGCCAGATTTTAAAAGATAACAGCAGAATAAAATTGCTTTATGGTGGTGGTTAACTCCTAAACCCTAAACTTTATTGCAATAACATTTGTAGCAATTATAAAATGTGTGCGACATTATCAACTCTTCTCTGCTCTAAGAAATATATGGGAGTGTTTGAATTCAATGGAAACCAGTTTCAGATGAAAGCTTAGTGTGATCTTGCTAGCCCCAGTGAGATTAACTACACAAATATATGAATGAAAATAAATAGTCAAAGACAAATACTTAAAGAGACACAATAATCTAGTTAAGTCATAATGGCATGGACAAAGGATTGTGGATTTGTGGTTAAAGTATTGATCAAAACACCAGAATGAGTAAAGTAGGACACTGCAAGATGCTCTCTTGTAGGGAAAAAACATTACAGAACAAAGGCCCTCTGTGTAGTCAGGGTCAAAATATGTTTGTATCAAACTCAACTCAGTAAATACAGATAGTTCACTGACCATTGTTTGAAACTGTGTATCATCTATCATCAGAAATGTGCAATGTGGCAACACACGTGGCCAAAGATCTTCCTAAAGAAAAGACATTTTTTAACAACCTGAAGAATATTGGGAAATAAACTTTTTTTTTTTTTTAGTAACAATGCACTTGATTTAGGAGGGTCAATGCCAGTTTTGGGCCACAGGGTGTCAGTAAAGGAACAAGTGTCCACTGTAGGTACAACGGTCAAGACCTACGAATAGCTCGAGCCTGGTTTTAATTGAAATATATGGCCACAGCAACTCTGCATTGTGGGAAAGTACAATGTATTTTTAGGTATCGAAATAGTGTAGACATATTTCTTTGCCAGGAGGTTAATGACAACATTTCGGCCTTTGGGTAATTTACTGTGTGACTGACTATCCTAACTATCTTTGGTCTCACACTGAGGATTCTGGTCTTGGAAGCGCACATCGCTAATTGAATGATCCTACATTTTACGCACCACAACAAAGGTACCACAAAACGCTTTGATCTCCTGACACGGCCTACCACCGTTTTAGAAATCTGCTGTCTCACAAAGCACAAAACCCTGCAGAAGTTAGAAAACATGTTGATTGACGTAAACGAATATGCGTGTTTATGTCCATATTTCCCACGTTAATCATGTTTTGGTATAAAAAAAACGCGACACTGCTGTTCTTTCTAGCACGTCGACACATTTACACATTAATTAGATCGCACATTAAGAATCTGACTAGAGCTCGTGCCAGCCTTAAGCGTTGGCACCAAATATACGCGGGTTATTTGCATGTTAAAGTGTTTTGACAAGAGTGTGATATTATGCAAACTGTGAATTTTCTCAGCCATATCTGAAGTACATCACACGGGAGACGCATAACACTTAACGGCTATGTGTTCAGCTGGGCGCGCGGCCAGGGCTTTGCAATGTTTGTGCGAAGTTTTTGATTTATGCGACCTAAAAGCTTTATCCAGGGGAGGCATTCACTACAGTTCCCACAATCCATCACTCATCACAAAAGTCAGGGTAAGATCCCACTAGGCGAGACTCAGCATCAGCAGTGAAGTTTCTTGTCTTAGATCAAGCTTCAAAAACATTATTCACTCTCATAGGCCTGATCCATTTTTATCTTCTTCAGTTGTATCCTCCAAGAACAAGAATGACAAATCCATATCGCACATACTAAAATAGACACTCCACCAAGATGTAGCCTATCACTAGTTTTTAAAAAGTTACCCCAACAGAGGGCGCAATTGGTTCAATTGTTGTATCTTCCATTTACGTAAAGTTCAGTGCCGTTGATCAATCACAATTCATTTGGCAATGATAAATGTCTGTATGTAATGTGGATGTCATTAAACACCTTTAAGTAGCCTGTTTCTACATATCTATTATCTAGTATAATAATTATGTGGGCAATTATTAGCCTATCAATGCTATAAATCTGCTGATAAGGAGGATTTTTTAACATGTTACACTTAATAATAGAAGGTTACTCTTAAAGTAGCTCAAGTAAAAGTGGTTAAAACATTCAGGTGTGAACTACTAAGTATATGAATACACCGAATGAAGGACCCAAACAGTGGAGCTGCTGCTGGGTGATAGTGCACAGGGACCATCCACAAATCACTGTTGTGAACAGAAGCATTCCTCTGTCCTCTGGGGTATACAAGACTTCATTTGGTTTTCCTCTGTGATATATGCTGAGGCCAAGAAGTCATTTACCTTCCAATGAATTAGCCTCATGATTTATGTGAGCTGCAAAAGTGTACTGTGGATCCTATAGCCTCCTACTGACCCCTCTTCAGATCACACCAATAATTATGTAAAATATGATGTGAAAGTGGCACTCAAGCTTCAGTTTACCAAAGTTGGGCTAAATGTTTGGCTACAGATTAAAATAATAAAAGGATTTATACTTTAGGTATCCTAATAAAACTAAGCAGCCTTTCTTTGCTCTTTACAGGCTGCATATGTTTTTCAACCACAATAACTTTATTCATTATTAAATATTGGGTATGTTCTGCAATCAGATGATTTTTACGTGTTTTTTTATTGTCTAACATGCCTATGTGACATTCTTGAACCTTATATCTGTAATTACTATGATAATTTTTCTAAATAATGGAAAGCAGAGTGGTGGGTGGAGACAGGGGGTTGGTAAAAACTGAAATTTTCTAAGCACCCAAGCTTTGACTGCATGATTACTCAGACATACATGGATCAACCAAAATACAATTCAGGCTTATGATGAGAGAACACTAATATGTGGTTTTCAAAAAGTACAATTTACATAATATGGCCTGTTTAAACTTGGAATCCTTTGTAATGGGCTTTTGTTTGGGGGCCTCTAGTGGCTGACGGGGCCCAGTGCATCTACGCAGATTGCTTTTGCCAAAGAGCCATACTGGATAGATTTTCAAATTTGAACTGTTTCTCTTATGTTTTTATTAGATTTAACATGTCCCAATGGAGAAGTTGGCGAGAAACTGTGATTCTAGATTGAACTCTTGCACTTAACTTTTAAAAATGGGCTTGATTTGGATGAGTACAGATTTAGTTGGTTACAAGGTGTTGATCATTGCCTCCAGTTTAATACCATTCATGTGACTAAGAACCTTTTTTCAGATCTTCCCATGACCACTGCTGCGTCGAAGGAAGCTCTTATAACCAAAATGAGTCAAAGGAAAATAAAAAGCACAACCTGAGGTATTTGAATCCAGCATTTTGTGAGTAATCACCATCCACATCCTTGAGACACCTCTCTACTTTCACTCTCACTTTTTCCACAAACCAAGCGTTACAGGGGCCCAACTCCGTCATGGCACTGGCTACGATAAAGATTAAAGCCAATCAGAATGCAAATAACCCAGGCTTTTTAGTGATAAACATCCAGGAATGCCTATGTGCACCTCAAACCACTACAAAGTCATGATTAGCTTGCCATCAGGGGAATAACTGCCCACTAAATACTCCTTTTATCAAGTTGTCTCCGCTTGCTCTGTTTTGTGGTGAAGTACTTGTTTGTGTACGCTTAGTAGTGTAGTAGTGCACTAATGAAGCTTTGTCCGTAATCTACAAAACAGATGCCCAGATTGAAAAGCATTAGCAGCTTTAAGGTATTTTACTATTAGGCAAGTCAAGGTTAGAATATATGGTTCTTTCTGTTTTACCTGTTACTGTGTGAGGAATGTCCAGCATATGGTGAGAACAGTCATAAAGTGCAGGTGTCCACACTTCACGACATCAAGTAATGCCTTTGACAGACTGGACTTTTGAGTGAATCTGAATGTACTATAGAGACCAGGGTAAACCAACACCGGTGTATTTAGAGAGATCATAACTCGTAACTTGTAATGACAAATAAAGCCTGGGCTCTATTTGAACATTATTTAAAGGAATCATATTACGCTATTTTCTGATTTGTCTTAATAGTGTTTCCTCATCACAAACATACCTGGAGTTTTGTTTTGTTCTGTTTACACATGTTTACCACACAAAACTGCTGAATTCAATGAAAACACACCGTTCCAACTTGTGATGTCATGTGGTAATATAGGAAGTGCTTCACTGTGTTGTTAAACTCCATACACCTTCACTACAATCATTTGGATACTTTCAGCCCTTAAATTGCCCATCTCTACTAAAGAAATGGTAAAAGGTACAGTAGCTATTAACTTGATAACTACTGCTTCATGACATCACAAGGTGGAACAGACCATTTTGAGCTTTGGAGATGTAGACAGACTAGTGATAAAGAGTGACTCAAACATGTGTAAATGAAACAAAACACAACTCTGTTTTTTGGGGTTTTTTTTCTGATGATGATGATGTCACTATTTAACATGGTTTAAAAGTGCACTGCCTAACTTTTCTTTGTGGGGGGAAAGGCCACATGCTTGTCTCCATGTCGATGTATTTAACTGTTCAGCCTGGAATGTTTCATAGTACGGCATTAAACTTATCTATCTCCAAGGAGGAGACAAGCAGGCCAAGATACAGATCAGTTTGGTGGAGAGGCGGGTCCTCTTGCACAAGAATTCATCTTTTTTAAAGGTATTTTTGAACAATAAAATCACTGGTAATGAAACAAAGACTTTTAATGCCATACTGTAGAGCATACCAAGCAAAGCAAAAAAAAAGCACAAAAAAAAAGCAGCGTACCCTTCACTAAAAGAGTTACACAATACACTTTTAAAGCTCTCAAGAATCAATTTTGTGTGCTATAGATCTTTTAAAGTGTATATGACAGGGTAGATTGATTTCACTTATGTGGTTACCAAAAGATTTTACTTAAGATCTTGCCTGGTTTTACTGTTTTCATATTAATTTCACTTCCTGGTTGAGCAGCAGATGTCTAATTTCAGTAAAATATGATTTTTTATAAATAAAACATATTACAAAACATTCTCTTTGTTAAGTGAATGTTGAAACTTGTGTCCTTATATTTTGGGTGGACATAAGGGGCTCCTTTTTATAACTTGTTTAAATTTTTCTTCACAAACCACCACTTGACTGGTGTAATCTTGACAAATCTTTACCACTGTCAGGTACTATACCACAAAAGGAGTAAT